CACACACACACACACACACACACACACACACACACACACACACGTACAGCCTATGTAGGTGTGTTATGTAGAAATATATATCACACATTAATATACATATATATTCTAAATTCAGAGGTCGACCTGAGACCAGCTCTGTGCATACGAAACCAAACTGGGAGGGGTTGGTGTTAAGGCCTGGGTTTCCATTGGCTGCAAGCATTTGCCGTGGTGCGGGGGTATCTCTAATCATATTCAGCATGTTTTGCACAAGAAATGTCAGCCAGAAAGGGCTATCTGCTCCCTTCGCCAAATTATTCCACAACAATGTCATGCTCAGAGAGCCCGGCTGCAAACTCTTTTTTGGTAGACTCCTTGATCAGCTCAGGCAGAGGGGAAACAGGAGGAGGAGGAGGAGGAGGAGGCGGCGGCGGCGGAGGCGGCTACTATCCCAACAGTAGTGTCTACCTGCCACAAGCGCCCGATCTGTCCTATGGGCTGCAAAGCTGCGGACTTTTTCCAGTTTTGAGCAAACGCAATGAAGGTACTTCTCAAAGCATGGTCCCCACGTCTCATCCCTACATGTCAGGGATGGAGGTCTGGCTAGATCCCCCAAGGTCTTGTCGCATGGAAGAGCCTGAGAGCCAGCAGGCCACCTCCTGCTCCTTTGCTCAAAACATTAAGGAGGAGAACTCCTACTGCCTCTATGACTCAGACAAATGTCCTAAGGGGGCAACTGCCACAGATCTATCTACTTTCCCAAGGCTAAACGCTGAGGTTAGTTCTATGAACAACGTGAGTGGGGTTCCTGTCCCAGGCTACTTCCGCTTGTCTCAAGCCTATGGCACTTCCAAGAGCTACAATACTGGGCAAGTTGGTGCTTCCCAGTTCACACCGCAGCCCCAAGTTCGTTTTGATACGCCTCCATCTTTGCCTTCAGTCCCAGCAGAAGCGGGGAGGAAAGAGAGCGGAGAGGCTTCCCCCACTACCTTGGCTTGTGTCTCCCAGAGGGAGGAAGAGGCGCAGGCTTCGTCTTCGACTGCAGAAGAGCTCTCCCCAGCTCCGTCAGACAGCAGCAAAGCCTCTCCTGAGAAAGAAACCGTAGGTAAGCAAATAAAAAGCAATGAGGATGATCATTGCATCACGAATGCAAAGGAGGATGCGAGCAGCCTGCAGAGCTGGCAAGAAGCGCCGCTTAGACCGACCTTGTGAACTCTGTAATATTTGGGCGTGGGGATGTAGTAAAAATTAATGTCCATCCTATAGTTTAAAATCCTTGATGGCTCCGCTCTGGGCAACCCTAGCCTGCATGCGGCTTAAACCTATAGAAAACCCCGCTCAGCCTGCCCTAGTGATGCGAAGGTGCCTACCAGATAACAGAGATGTTTGTAAAGCATCCAAAATAAGCAATAGGCAGTGCCAATAAATAAACCTATTAACGCGGTAAGTTGTATTTTACGATCCAGAATGCTTTTCGAAATAACAGGCGCGTTGAAATGTTCCTTCTATGAACTGCTATCAAATTAGACTGATGAATGCACTACCACTAGCCCGCCACGTCTCCAGCAGATAACAGGCTGGTTATTTATTTTTGATTCTGACCCCCGAGGCAAAAATAAAACCCTGGTGGGCCAGGCTGTTAGACTTTCCCAGTGGCTCGTCTCTTGTCTTTTCTTTGCTGTTTAAAAAAGATATAGTCATTATGTTGCCCCATTGAAAAAAATATATATAGATATACTCTTCACTACCAAATCAATGCTGCCTCATTGCCAGCCCGGCTCAGCCCTGTCAGCAAGCCGCCTGCAGGAAATTTTAACTCGTTTAGGAAATAGTCGTGAGAGGAAGCTGGGGAGAAGCGTGCTGGGAAGGCGGAGGAAGGCAAGGCAGGGGCCAGAGCTGCAGCTCGCCCTGTTTCTCCCCTCTCCAAAGTCCCCTGGCAAAGGGTGGCCCCGCGGAGAGCTGGCTGGAGCAGGTGCTTGCAAAAGCAAAAGCAAAAGCGCAAGGAAAAGAGCAGCTAAAAGGGTAGGAGCAGCGTCGGAGAGGCCGATGAGAAGGCACTTTCCCTGGATTAGCTGAGCAGGGCGCGGCCCCGCTGCCATTGTGCGCAGGAGGAAGGTGGAAGGAGAGAGCCGAGCTCGCCGGGCGGCCGAGGCTGGCGCTCCAGCGCAGGGGTCGAGGTGCCTTGCGGGGCTCACTCCCAGCCCCGACCCCTGCACCGCGACCCGGGGGCGCCGGCGGAGGAGCCCGGCTGCTCGGCCTCGCCTCAGCTCGTAACGTCCCTCTTTTGCTCTCTTGAAACTAGGCAATGCAAAAGGAGAAAATGCAGCAAACTGGCTGACCGCAAAAAGCGGCAGAAAGAAGCGGTGCCCTTATACCAAGCATCAAACTCTCGAGCTGGAAAAGGAATTTCTGTTCAATATGTACCTGACTCGTGAGCGTCGCCTAGAGATCAGCCGTACAGTCCACCTCACAGACAGACAAGTTAAAATCTGGTTTCAGAACCGCAGAATGAAACTGAAGAAAATGAACAGAGAGAATAGGATTCGGGAGCTCACAGCCAACTTTAATTTTTCTTGATGAACCCATAAACACGTTTTTACGGTTTAAAGAGCCAGTATCATTTTCCTAGGCTTTAGTAATCCGCACCTGTATGGATTAAGGATTTTATACATTCTCAGTATGTCCATAACCTCTTTATAGCTATTTCTGGGGGAAAGAGCCATAAAATCGTGCTCAAAATGCCATGTATGTACCGCCCTCGGTCCATTAAAGCTTCCTCGCTCTTATTGTTCTTTTAGTTCTTGAAAGACAGAAATATTATTTCGAGAGCTACAAATAGTTTTTCCCCCCTCTCTCTCCCCAAAATGTAAACAATCCCAGTTAAAGGCACAATACAATGTTCAATGATAGAAGGGATGTCTGGGCTGTATTTAGCTGAATAATGCATTATTGAAGCCTTGGCTATCTCCTCTATAAGAGAAGCTTAGCTTTTCTTGCAAAAAAAAAAATCAAAAAAAATCAGGGCTTACAATAATGAAACGCAGGCATGCTTTAAAACGGAGGGCTTCGTGGGGACTGGGATGAAAAGCGATTTTCTTTTCTTTTCCCTTTTCCTCCCTTTTATCTTCTTTTCTAAAAAAAAATCAATATTAAAGCTTTAAAATTGGCCAGGAAAATGAAACCTCTTCTCTTTAAGGATACAAAAGGTCTCGTGTTACTTCTGGACTAAATTATTACACTTACCTCTAAATTTCTCTCTCTCTTTCTGGTTGTAGATATTTACTTAATGTAGTTTTGCTTAAATTTGTGGGATTAGTGGATTTTTGTCTATGAAGTACGTTACCGTTGGTAACGCGTGACAAGCACACAACAATTCGCCCTGTCTTGAGAAAAAAATAGTCACTTTTTCTCACTAAGTTAATCGAGAAGTGTCTATGGCGAACATCAGAAGGACTTTCTGAGCCAGAGTTGAAGGTAGCGAGGGAGAACATGTCGTCTTTCCTTTATACTGTGAAGCTACATGCATTAAAAGGGTCAAACGTGGAGGTGCAAAGAAAAAAAAGAGGGGAAAAAACTATAAATACAGATATGTATAAATGTCTATTATTAAAATGCCGAAACTGTTTTAAGCAAATGCATTCTATCGTTATTATAAATGTTAGTTCTAGCTATATCTAGTTCTTACCTTAAATCGGAATAAATTAATATTGTAATGCTGCTGTGCGTGAAAAGACGATGTTTATGTTCTCATAGAAGAATAAAAGACGTGGAATGAATCCTTTTAATTTTACCTCTTTTTGTGACTGTTTATCCTCAGGTTCTACTTTATGTCTTCGAGAACTTTTTACAACAGGCATAGTTGCCTTACCCCCCTGCAATTACTTTAGGAATCTATTTAAATATTACCTAGACGGTCGTAATTTGTCTGGGCCATATAGCAATGGTGCTGTAAGGTTTGTCGGCTTTTGTTCAGTTTTATGACTTGCTAGTATATCTGGATTGTTGCTGTCTTGGACGAGTGGTTTCAGTTGAGTGAGGAGCTGCACAGACAGAGGAAGCAAATTACTATTTCTTGAGCGTAGGGGATTGATTTTTTTTTAATCAAACACCTTTCACCGGGCTGAGATCTTTTAACTGCAGAAGGCTGTGGGGGAAAAAAAATGTAGCTTTCCAAGGGCTCGGAAGAAATCGTAAAGGTGAGCACATGGAAATGAGGGGCTGGAGGTCTTGTTCTTCTTCTCCAACAGCTTCTAGCCGTGTTTGCCCACTCGGGCGCTCTGCCCCTCTCTACCTGGCTGCATGTGAACGGGCTTGTTTCCGAACCGCTCGTTGCCTCCCTGCTGCATGCGGGGCTAAGGGACTCTTGCACAAAAGCAACACAAAATCTAGGGCTCGGATAAGGGCTCCGGCTAACGCTTCCTTGGGGGAGGGGGGCGGGGAAGGGGCCGGGAGGGAATAGACTTTGAACCCGGGCTTATGGCGAGTCTTTAGCTTTTTATGATGTACCATTACCGCGCACGGCCTTTCTTCCCTTTTCCATTTGCATGGAGCACTTCTCAGGGGGGAGGGAAGGAGCCAGACCCACAGGAGACCCCCCCCCCCCCCCCCCCGGCTGGAGCAGTACTGTGTGCTAGTGCCGGCGGCGGGTGCGGGGCGGCGGGGGCTGCGGTCACGTCTCTGGTTTTATCTTTGTAGAGGGATCCCTGCCTGCAGAGCCGGCTGCGGGGAGCGCAGTGCTCAGAGCGCCGAGAACTGCTGTGTGGTTTAGGTAGTTTCATGTTGTTGGGGCTCCACCTTTCTCTCTACAGCACGAAACTGCCTTAATTACTTCAGTTGAAATCGTCACCAGGTATGCTAGTGCGGGGTGGCTTCTTCCCGAAGAAACCCTAAGGCTCGAGCGCTCGGTAGGCGTCAAGTCCCAAAGCCATTGTGTGTCCTTCTGCCGCGGAGGAGCCCGGGCCTCTGCCGCGAGCGCGCCGCGCAGCCAAGGGGACCATGGTGGCCAGCTCGTCAAGGTTAGCTGGCTCGGAAGCCGGGCTGCCGGCCTAGGGGGCTCGCCTATCTCGCCGGGGCTCCATTCAAGGTCAGGTGCGCTCTGCCCGGTGCCCCCGGGGGCCCGGGGACCTCGCTATGGGGCTGGAGGGAGATGCTGAATGCCTGCTAGTGAGATGCTTGCTACCTTCCTGAACTGGCTCCTTGCCACGCAGAAGCACCCGGAGGCTGCGATCGGCCGCAGGCACGGGCTTTGCTCGGACCTGATTTTGCAGAGGGAGGGAGGTGGGGGGGGGCGGTAATCGGAGCCTTGCTTTCGGGGCTCTGCGGATCCGGCCCCACTCCGGGTCCCCCCTAGACCCCCGGCCGCTTCCCCGGCCCCCGCGCCCTGGCCCCCGCGGAGCTCGCCGGAGGTGAGGGGGGGACCCAGAGGTGATTTAAAATAGGAGAAGCCCCCACGGTTCGCCTCCAGCTCACAAGGCCTCGGTTACGATCATTATTACAGTGTGTCCAGGAGCCGACATTCCTTTGAGGCTGCACGAGCAACAGCGACCTCTCTGGGTCTTGAGCAGGGAAGCCGGAGCTGCCTTTTGTGTGCCCAGACCCAACAGGCATGGAAGGGAGCCTGCAGCCCTGGTTAGCTCATGTGCCCCACACGTATCGCTAGCATAAGTGAGCAAGACCCCTTCTGCCTGGAAGGACCCGGGAAGCGCTGGGGAACGGAATATCCTTTCATTAGCTTGGTCCTGCTGGGCTCATTCGTTGTGTGACACTTCTCCGAGCTCCCATGGGCGGCAGTGAATAAAACTCGTTTGGGAACTGGATTTTCACTGGTGATCTGGACTTGCTCTAACTGGTTCCTTATCCAAAGGCAAGCAGAGTCAAACCCGGCCCTGGCACGGCAGGCTGCTCTGTGTGTGTGTGTGTGTGTGTGTGTGTGTGTGTGTGTGTGTGTGTGTGTGTGTGTGTGTGTGTGCTCATGGTTGTCTCACCGTGTGTCTGGCGATGGGTATGTGCGTACCCCTGGGTGTACGCATGGAGAATCCGGCTCTCTCTCTAGGTCTGCCTGTGCTTTATTTCGGTGCGGAGCGTGTCATTCCAACTGTTGACCCTTTATCCCGCCTTCTCCTGTATTCTCTTTTTTTCTCCCCTAATTATTATTATTTAATATCTAGAACGGGTGAGTTCACAATCAGGGTTTGCAAGGAGTCCTGGCCCACGCGATCCTGAGTCCCAGCTCACTAAGACTCCTACTCCCCTACAGACTCCACATCAAGGCTCAGTGGTGTATTTGTAGGGCAGCTGCCTTTGCTTTTGCCTTCAATTACAAATAGCAACTTCCTTCCTGGGTGCACAATCTTATTGCTCCCTGGCACTTGCCTGTTGTGATAGTCCCGGCCTGGTGGGTGGAACCATTTTCTTTTTCGTGGCTGCAAGTAAAAAAGAAAAACAAATCTTCCTGATTAAATAAGCCGATAAAATACTCCAAATTTTGTTATAACACACACACACACACACACATGCATATTTGTGGTGTCTCGAGCCCAGGCCGGTAAACGAGCGTGGTTCTTAAATGTTGCAAACTCTCTTGCTGTAAATAATAATCTCCATCGCCTAATTAGACGAATTGCAAACGGATTATAGAAAAAACTCGCCGTGGAAGGAAAACAAGCGAGAGGCACATACTGAGTACGAGCATTCCTGATCGCTGGACAATAATGCTATTTATTTGCCTTATTTTTAATTCCAGATGGCTTTAAACCCCCCCACGCCGCTTGAATCTTGGCATTTGGGGGTTTTTTTCGGGGTGTATGAAAACCAGCTCCCTTCGTTTTAATGCTAGCGTTATAACTATGAACAGGAGGATTGTTAGTTTTGGTAAGCGACCCAAAAACGGGAAACGAAGCGCGTTGCAAGTTCCGAACCCAAAGCCTAACGCAAACATCCAGGACTCCTGCAGTCCGGGAGCCCCACTTCGCCACAGCTGACTCTTAATAATACATACAAGTGACGTCGAGTTCCGTCTTTCCAGGAAAGAAATACAATGATATTTTTCTATGACGGCATGTCAGTGCGAAGGCCACAGACTAGCTGGCACACAGCTTTATTTGTATTTAAAAAATAAATAAAATAAACTGGATGGAGCATAACGGACCGCCCTTCACCTGGTATGTCTGTGGGTGTTTGATTTGGGATTTTTTTTTTTTAATCCTAACTGCAGGGTCTGGAACTAGAGTTGCGACTGGTTCTTGTAATCTCCGATCAGGAGAGGCAATGTTGCAAAAAAAAAAAAAAAGGCTCTGTGAGATTTCGGAGGAAGCTGTTGGGAAGACATGAAAAGGAAAAAAGAAGAGAGGGAGACAGAATGGGGGGAGAGCAAATAGGAACGCAAAGCTAATGAGAAACACACTTTTACATGCACGTGATTTTAATTATTACACGCTTTGCTGGGATGTAGTTGGAATAAAGTTTTTCAGAGCAATTGAGAGGTTTCCGGAGATCGTTGGTGTTGATTTTTTTTTTTAATACCCCTTCCCCCTTCGTTGCCCGGAGCCCGCCGAGTCAGCGGAGCAAATGATGAAGCCAATTGTCATTTTTTTTTCCCCCTCTCGAAATGTTGGGCCAGAAGTTTAATCCCTAGCACTGGACTTGATCTGGGGGCGCCGTAGCACTTTTGTGCTTGAGAGCTGTAACCCTCCGCTCCGGGTCGGCGCTTTCCCAGCCCCGGATCCTGCCGGCATTTAAATAACTATATTTGCACCTCTGGATCGGAGTCATGCAAAGGTGGGCCCGTGTGCGAGGGCAGCCGGGCGCCTCCGGCAGCCAGGGGCACAGCGGTTCTTCCCCCTGCGGCATGACTGCTTGTTTAAGAATAAATCGTCCCGATCCACGCTTCCCCTTCTTCTTCTCCTGCTCCGGCTCTGATCGCATTTTAGCCACGCATAATGCCGGGGGTAGGATCTAGCTGTCGCGTCCTGGGTGGACCTGGGAGGCGAACAGGCTCGGGAGTCCTGGAAGCGGATCCAAAGAGCTTTCGAACAATCTGCCCGGCCAAGCCAGCACTGGCGCGGCTCTGCCCAAGTCGATGCGACTTCTCTGCCTTTAATTATGCATAGCCCGGGATATTTTTGTGCTCCGAGGGTTTTGATAGCACTGGCATTGACAGTGCTCCAGGAGTGCGTCCGATGGCTCCTTTCCTCTCTCCCCAGCTCCGATCCCCGGAGCGGCACGTCCTGCCCAGTGCTCCCAGCATCGGCCACACGCAGCCATTCCCCCGTGGACCAGCTCAGATGAGGAGAAGGACTTGATTTTATTTTTTTCTGGAGGCAGAGAGATTCTCGGCGGGGCTTTCCATGGGACGGACCCGGGGGCTGGAGGGCGCTCTGCGGTGCTGGGGGAGAAGCGGTGGCCGGGGAAAGTCCGAGATGCCAGACTCGCTGGTGTCTATACACACGCAATGGCAATATCGATTCAAAATGCGTCTCGGCGCTGCCCGGGCCCGCGTGGGGAGGACACGCCACGCAGAGCCGTCTCGGGAAGGGGATCTGCTGGCTGTGACTTCTCGCTGCCAGCCCGGCTTTAGCTCTGAACTCAGCGGAACCGTCTTATTTACAGTCACTTCCCAAACTAAACACAATAGTATAATTTAACCTTTGGAAGCACTCGTAAATTTTTACTGCTGTGAAACACAGCGATGCAAATGAACACGCTCGTAGTTACTGACTTAATAACAACCCCGTGGCTCCTGCAACAATAACTCCTTATGAAATATAATAAATATAGATTTAAATACAGTACGCCGACACTGCTATTTTGCTTTCTTTATGGCTTCAATTATTGTATAATTTTATGTGAAGGTCTCCGATCACCGGGATTTCGCAGGGAACGCGCCCCACTGATGGGATGATTAATTGTGATATAAAATAGTCCGTTTAAAAAGGGGGAGTCCTACCGAATCCGATCTTTTAATCTCCGCTGGCCACAATTAAAACAAACTTTATCGTACCCCTCCAATACCCCTTTGCATAAAAACATATGGCTGCGCTATAAAAATTATGACTGGAAAACACTGACCCATTAATAGCCTGCGGACTGATTTATACTTTATTGTTCTGCTGCCCGAGCACGTGACTGCGGCAGCCAATGGGCTGACAGGCAGCCTTCAACTTATTAGGTGACTGTACTTCTTCGCAAGGACCAAGTTGTTACATGAAATCTGCAGTTTCATAATTTCGGCCGGTGTCGCTCCGTGTGTGTCGTATGGCCATGTCGACGTCAGGGACCCTCAGCAATTATTACGTGGACTCGTTCCTCATTCACGAGAGCGAAGACCTGGTGCCGTCCAGATATGCCTCTGCTCCACTGGCCCAGCCACCGAGACAGCCCGCCCTGAGCGAGCACCCCGAATTCGCCCCCTGCAGTTTTCAATCCAAAACTTCAGTCTTTAGCACGTCCTGGAGCCCCGTGCACCCGCCGAGCGCCGGGAACGTGCCCACTGTGTACCACCCGTATGTGCATCACCAGGCACCAATGGCAGGGCCCGCCGGCAGGGGCAGGGGGGGGGGGGGGGGGGGGGGGGGGGAGGTACATTGGTTGTTTCAGTAACCAATCAGAGTGCTCCAAAACCGCTGGCGGCCAGAAGGGGTGACTGTACCACGTTTGACACTCACACTCTGTCTCTGTCTGACTATGCTTGTGGTTCTCCTCCAGCTGATAGGGATAAGCAAAGCCACGAAGGTGCGTTCTCGGAAAGCAACGGAGAAAGCGAGCCCAGCGGAGAGAAACCCCAGCTGGATCCAAGTAAGTGCGCCCTGGGCTGCAGGGCTCCGGGCTGGCCGCAGGGAGGTGGCCAGCTTCTGGCCGGCGCTGCACTTGGTGCGTGGCTGAGCCCCTGGCTGAGGAGCTGGGGCTGGGAGGGGCTGGGGGAGGGGGTTTCCAGGTAAAACTCTTGTCATCCCCCCCCGGGCACAGAGCCGAGGCAAATCCCCGGGAAGCTGAGCTATTCTGCCGTGACCCGGGCTCGCCCAGCTGGGCTGGGCTGGGCGGTGGGCTCCCCGAGCCCTGGATCTGCGGGCTGGGAAGCGCTGGCTCCCCGAGCCAT